GACCTCACTTAGGTCCCTATGAAAACTGAGCATTTAAAGAAATATACAGTTTGACAGTCATTTATTTTTGGCAATGTTAAAAACAAGAATGAGCACTGGTGTGAACTATGACCTGTTCGCCATGGATGCTAAAAGCACATTAAGTCTACAGGACTACAGACACGAGTGGGCTTTTTTCATAGGAAGCTGGACAAGATGCCACGAGGCAGAGAAACAAACACTGGCTGATTATTCTAGTAAGGAGGCTGATTGTTCAGGATTTAGTAGGTGGGACAAATAGCCATTTCTGTAATTGTGTCGCCACATTATTGAATTTATAGCCCCTTTTAATATGGCAGAACATGTCAGGAAGGAAAGTGGAAAGGTGGAAGTCTTTTTTATCTGAGAGAAAGAATGACAGTTCCATTACCCCAGAGTCACACATGCTGCCTGCAATCCAACAAGATGACTTTTCCCCAATGAGAGCTTATCAATACTGAAGGCATGCCATTTTGAACCATCAGTAGCGAAGGGTCCCATTGATCACAGCCTGAAAAGTCAATCTTGGTTTTCACTAATCAAAGCCCACAAAGATTTGTGAGTCATCTTTGGACTGCACTCACATGGAGCAGTGTGTCAACCATCAAACTGAATCTGATAAAGGGAATCTTCTCCAGGGTTGTGACATTATTGATTATTTCTTACTGGAGTCAGAGAACAGCATAACCCTGGGATCAGGTGGTTTTCAAAACAACCCCACATCTTTAAACACTGGATTTAAAGGGTTAGTGGTAGAGAGACATTCACTTAGTATCCGCAATTTCACAGTTTATTAATGCAACTCAGTGCTTTTCCACACAACAGGAGATGCAATGTAGAAAGTGTCAGCAGTGTTAATTTTCTCACCTATTTAGTCTTTGTCAGGAGATCAAAAGTCCATTTAAGTTTCAGTCACATATAATCAGAATCAGCTTTGTAGGCCAGGTGTGCTGGACATGAGGAATTTGACTCTGGTACAGCGGCTCTTAGTGTGCATGTACATAACCCCATGCAAGGCAACAGCAAGGGGCAAGTAAACAATAGACCAAGATAAGGATGTGTAGTACAACAAAATAAACAGTATAAACAATGCAAAAAAAAAAAAAAACAGTGTAAACAGTCAGTAAACCGTGCAGTCAGACAAAAGAACATTCATTGGGAGACAAGATAAAAAATAGAATAAAAATAAAGTACTTAAAAATAAAAAGAGACCTGTACGAATGTGTATAATCTGTTCAAGGTATATTTACCGGTATTGCGCTGGGGGTTATTCCAATAAGAATCCAAACACCAAGAGCAGAATTCCACATACTCATCTTTTTTTGAGAAAAATATTTAGCTTCTAGATTTTATCCAGTTTCATAATTTTCAAAAATCCTTACAAATACCTTCCTTAATCAGAAATTAGCTGTTAATACCAAGTCCTCTTTCAGTGTTATCAGAAATTCCAACTACCCTAAATACATTTTTATCCTGTGAACAGTGAAGCCAATACAATCTAATGTTAATGACCTTTATTTCAAAGCTGTATGGCTGCACAACCAAGAGCCAGTGGATTTAAACTTTAATATCTATGAATAATTAAAGCTCTGGGAAAGGACCATTTAACTGGCCCATAAAGATGACGGGAACTGCCGTGTTAAATGCTGAAATTCTGAATAGACCTAGAATAGCCCTCATTTGGAAAATGTTACATTACAGTACTTCATTTTTTGGTCAGTAAGGTTAGAAGCCAGACTTGACAAGCCGATGAAAAGATGAATCCCCACCAATGTATCTAAATGCTACATAACCAACAGACTATTCCCAGCTGTAAGCCAGCTGCCCTGACTAATAATATTTATTTAACACATGAGCTTGTTAGGGGCTTGTTTGAGCTGTATAGGGCTTCTATAATACCAACAGGATTAAAGAGCTCCAGGATGAGACAGCCTGAAAGGTAACGCCGTTGCTGAGCAAGCCATCTCAGCAACTACAGAGCTCAAGCCTGTAAGAACGTCTGTGTGTGTACACTACAGGCTGGGAAGGATCACTGTGATAACCATAGCCTTGGCAGAGTAGAGCCTCACATTTGAAAAGATTAAATAGTGAGAGATAAATTAAATCTCCCCGTCATCGATCTTTGATGCCAAGTGCCATTATACACAGCGGAAGAAGAGAATGACAGGTCTTAAAGAAAACAAAACCACATTTTTGGCTTAATGTGAGTACTCCAAGTCATCATCTTTGCAAGCATTAATGACGTTTGCCATCACTAGTGGGCAAAAACTCCATTACACAGGCATAAATGCATAAAGACTCAAACTAGGGCCGCTGGGTAAACAAGACTGCCTCTTTTTCCAGAATCCATAATGAATACTTTCAAAGTTTTGTACTTTTGCTTAATGCATTACCAAAAGAAAAAAAAAAAAAAAAAAAAACTTAATTTATGTTTTCCATATTCTGAGCAAACTTTGACCAAACAAAACTTACAAGGTCAGGGAAATGATAATGCAACAGTCAACAGGAAGGGGCATCGTCTCTCTGGCCCAATCCTGTCAAACAATTCCTGTATTTCTAAGTCTCTTGCTGGCAACTTCGGCCCTGCTCTGTCCTTCAGGCTGACTGAGAGGGCACACAGGCTGAACTTGGGCCATCAGCAAACGCGTGATGGATGGGTTTGGGCAAGTCGGCATGTCGGGCATGTTGAGAGGCAAGATGGCATGCTCCAGATAAATGCCAGTGCTTAAGATTTTAAAGCATTCTCTTCTCCTAATAAAGATGTCTATCATCTGTGAATAAGTAACCTTATCACCCTGCCAAGTTGGCAGTGAGCAAGGGGTGGAGGGCAAGATCAACAACCCACAAATCAATCACACATAAACAACACGACAAGATGAACTTGCCTATGATTACAATTCCAAGAGAATACTGCAGCATAAAAACTGATAATGAAAGCCAAGAAGCACTGCCAGTAATAGCATCAAGCTAATAAAAGAGATAAGCTATCAAATGGGAAGCTGACTTGCGGTAAAAGGAACAATATCAGTTCTCATTCTTTCTGATGAAGTGGGGGGCTTTTCATAGCTGGAGTAATCCAGATTAAAAGAACAGTCTTTTCAAAATATCAAACTTTAAACTAATTAAAAACAATACCATTAAGACAAAGTCTTGGCGGACAAGCATGATAAACTGAAGATGCAGAGGTACACATTCTACAGCAGGTTATATCCCATAGTCTGACATTATACATCCCATATTACAACAGTGCTATTTTATATACACAAGGGAAATATTCTAAACAAGGAGGGTCAAGAGAAATGATCAGAAAAGGGGGTAAGCTGACAGAAGAGGAGAAGGTACATGACAGGGGCTGTGTGACTGAAATATGCGTCATCCTCCTCACTCCATCAACTCCAATACTCACACTCAGATGATGCATGAAAATCCATTTATGCTACAAGCTGGGAGGAAGGAGGACAGAAAGGAGACATGAGATACAAAGGATGAATGGAAGGACATGTGTACCTCTACTGGTTGTGGATGGCCAAAACCAATGGGACCACTGAGCAAGTTTCACAGCTGGTGTTGATGACAGGTTCTCAACAGATCACTCAGACACGGTATTTAGATCTGTCACTGTCTTGATAAGTAAAATCACCCAAGGACTGATTGTTTGGTCTTAAAGCAGATGCTACTTTTGTATACAAAACATTATAAAAAGGTCCGTGTGTCTGAAATTTGAGCTGCCATTAAAGTGTTGGGAAAATCATTACATCTGTATCTGTCAGGAACTTAATTGAATTCCATATTTTAATTCAATACTGAAGTCATTACACAGACAGTCTTAATTATTTCGCACAGAAGTTGATAGCTATTCTTTTCACCCAGCCAACCAACATGTATGGAGACTGTGGGAATGAGTATGGCTGTTGAACCATGTTAAACCGATGCCCAGGGTAGTGTGGGCGAGAGCTATGCTTTATAAATTGGACCTCACAACCTAGGAAACAAGGTACTTCAGTAAAAATTGACTCTTACACTTATTTGCTGCCATGCCACAATAACAAAATCTATTTACCAGAGCACAGTGAAAAACAAGAGCTGTCCACTACTTTATTTTTTACTGTAGCTTATACAACTATCTTTGTCTCTTACCTGTATTTTCTTGATTGGCCATTGCTGTTCCCCTGATTTATCAGTTTTGCTGACGATGATTCTTTGATCAAAACATTGTCACATCTTTTCCTATATGTTGCACATAAAATAAAGTTGCTCTTTTGCATCTTTAGAGACTTTTTGACAGTAAGTGTGGCATCGTCTATGCAATGGGCTGTTAATTTCAGCATTTCAACAAGATGGAAACATATGCTACATAAAGTGAGTAAAATAAAATGACTGCTGATGCTTCTGTCTTTCATAAATTCCTGAGTCTATGAAATACCGTACAGTCTGTGCAAGTTTGAGCATTCTTGCAGGAAACGTCATTTGGGATGTTTCTGACTTGCGGATCCAGGTGTTGGACATCCTCTTTAATTGCCCCCCCATGGTTTGCCTGTCTGTAACACACCTGGACTTGCACAAACCAACAGTTGCTACTGTCACAAAGGCATGTTTTACCATCTTTGTCAAAAATCAAAACTGTTCATGAAGAACAGTTTTGTTTTGATGTCCTCAGAATTCCCTCAACTATTTAAATCAATGAAGGATATAAGTGCTTTGCTTCTGGTTCCAGAGTGGACAGACTGAAATGTATGTTGATGTTTCAGAACTTCAGTTCCGTCATTTCTGTGCCGTGGCATGCATGTTTCCCTAAGCTTTATTCCATTTAATTTCAGATTGGTTTAAAACTCACTGACGACCACGTTTTCAGGAGACAAGTGTTTGTTTGCCAAAGCTGGGCCAATGTGTGATCTGACTGTGTGTCAAAAGTCCATTTATCTTGCCGAACAAGGTGGCAGAAGCTGACCAGGATTAAAGAACTGGGTCTCTGGCTGACTCACCTTCAGCATTCTTTCAACTCGGAATGAGAGTGCTCCATCATCCAACGTGCTCCGTGACACCAGCTGGGCAACCGGGTGGAAAGAGCAATGGGGTGTCGTGCTCTCCACAAGCACCTTCCTCATGGCTCGACCAAGCCTGCTTTGGTTTCACCTCACACAGCAACTGCACAAGAGCAAATAAGAAGCATTTTGTTGGTGACGCATGATCAAGGTCATTACAGCAGTCTGAAATAATAGGGGTGTGCAAAAACATCAGCACTATAAACACACAAAATCTCACTTAGGCAGGAAGATAATGCAGGAACTGTTTAGCTTTACAAAAGGCAACCCCGCTGTTTGATTCTCTCCTTCAACTTGTTTTCCAACAAGAACATGCACCACATTCATTTTAATTAGAAATGGTGGGCACTGCATGATAAAAACATGCATTTTAATTTAATCTAATTACCTGAAAAGCAGGACTATCCATAACTGTCACTTTTTAATCACAAGGTTCCTTTACAACAGCAACCAGCTATGTGAAACTGGAAGACTCTCATCACATCCTCATTGGCAATAAATGGTACTTTGGGAATATGTGGAGAAAAAAAAAAAAAAAAGTGTAAACATGACTCACATTTTCCAGTCTTTAAGAACATTACAAGACTTATGTAATTGCCATGCATACAATGCATGCACACATTTTAAAATATAGAAATATGTATCTGGAATGCATTGGGAGTTCTTTCACATTTGCCCCCAAACAGTCATGCTGAAAATCTAAGGCAAATTTTCATTTTACGGCCCGTCAGCTCCCTGATACCGAGCAAATGAATGCAGCAGCAAACAAATCTATCAAATCCTACATCAAAACAACCATGCTCGCTCTCTCGCTCTCTCTCTGACTTAAGGACACAAACAGCAGAAGGGAGAAGTGGTATTGAAAAGAACAGGAGAAATTGTGGACAGTACTGAATGTATGACCCAGCCTGCTGACCAAAGAAAGGGGGAGCCTTTTGTCTCCAATCCTGCATAACTGCAAACATTTGATCACTGTTGCTCCTACGATCATGTTTAATACACTGGAGCATTCCTCTATAATAAGCAACATCTATTCGCAAGGCTAAAAAATGAACAGCTACAATTATACAACAGCATTTCAAAAAATAAAGGGTGGACAGTGCCCCAGTTTCACTAATGTCTCATAATTAGACCAGTTCAGATGACACTACATGGACCTGTCTGTTGACCCTGTGATGTGCATGTTCCTCCGACTCCAATTTGCAATGCAGACTGGGAAAACAAAGGGTCTTTCAGAAGCTTTGATGTGTGAAGATGGGCAATGAAAAGTACAGGTTGTAACAGCTACAAGAGCGCTGACATATAGGGCACCATCAGTTCAGTTCAGTGCGTCTCATGGGGTATTATGGTGGGTAGAAAATGTCAATTTCATGCCATATAAACTTTGATTAAAGAGCCTAATGGATACCTGTCTCAAACATGACAGGTTAATCAATGTCTTCTCACAAGCTTTTTGTCCATTTCTGCTTGAGCGTTCTTTGCCGTCAACAGGAATTGCAAAAAAAAAAAAAGAAATGGAAAAGACAAGCACAAGATGAGATATTAGACCTTTAATTAGAGGCACATTGTGAGCCACCGCCTA